CTCATTACTAACTAACTGGGCCACTGAGGTTGGTTTTTGAGAGACTCAGATGCCCGAAATCTCCTACTTTTCACCAAGGAGATGATAGATCATCTAAGGTCACTCAGCCATCTTTCTCAGACCCTGCTACATGCAGAGAACAGAAGACTCAGTCTTCTAAACAAGGAGAAGGGAACCATATACATGTGACCAAACACTTAGAAAGACACAGAAGCACTGAGCTTTACATTTATAGTATCATTTATAGCATCACAGAATGTGAAGGTTGGAATGAACCCTACTAAGAGTCTGCTTTCCTAATGATGGCTGGAGGCCAGAGAGGGTCAAGTGACTGGTCAGACTCTGTTAAGGACAGAGACAGTACTAAATTGTCTACATATCACAGTGAATAGAAAAGTAAAGTCAAAGGTTAGGGAGTCAGAGTAAAGGATAGAATGGAGAGCTGGAAAATCAAGGAAGAATCCATGGAAAAAGTAAGTCCTGAGCCGATAATCAATACAGGACTTTATAGGTAGTATGAGGGTACCAATTGTTACTATATACTCTGAATTATTCTCAAAAGGAATTTGTGAATATGATTTTTGGTTTCTCACAAAAAGGGAAAATAAGTCTCTAAGGGATTGCCATTAATCCAATACTGCACATGTTCTATGTGGTAGAGTCACTCCTGAACCCTGAGCATAGTTGTTCCATGGATCTTTAAGCCTCCTTTACCAAAAGAAGGTCTTGATCGAGTGTGTTGATAGGACAAATGACGGGATCTTCCTAAACAAAGGAACTAGAAGGAGTTGCCACTACTTCATCTGAGCCCTCACTCCTTCCAAGTTCCCAAGAGCTTCCAGATAGTGAGAAGTATTAGTTTCTTAGCATTTCCGTCACACATTACAGTTAATTTAGTAGAACAAAACATCAAAAATGCATTGCAGCTCTCAAAGTTAGAAGTCTATGGGCTGTCTTAGCTACTTTCCTCCTGATGTGATAAAACACCATGACCAAAAGCAACTTGGAAAGAGATTATTTCAGCTCACACTCCCACTGCAGGAGAATGGGGCAGCAGCTCAAGTCAGGGCACTGGAGGCAGGAACGATGCAGAGACCATGGAGAAACCACCGCTTACTGACTGTCTCCTCATGGCTTGTTCAGTTTGCTTTCTTATACAACTTAGGACCCTTTGCCCAGGGATGACACTGTCCCTCCATACAGGTGGGCCCATCCACATCGGTCAATAATCAAGAAAATACCTGATAGGCCAACACCTATAGGCCAATCTTATGGGGGAATTTTCTCAACTGATAGTCCTCTTCCCAGATAGCTCAAGTTTGTGTCTAGTTGACAAAGAAAAAGAAAAAGACAGGTGGTCTCAGTGGACTAAACTCAGAGTGGCCAGCCAGGCTACATTGCTATAGGGAGCCTCCTTGAGAGCATTTCTTTGGCTTTTCCAGCTTCCACAGCTGCCCTCTTCTTTTCATGTTCTTCCTTCTTCTTTGCCGACAACAGCCAGTGTGGTCTTTCACATTAGATATTAATGTTTCTTCCCCCTCTGCTCTTTCAAGGATCCTTGTTGTTTATATTACACCCTTCCTTTGGATAACCCAAGATAATCTCTCTGTTTTAAAGTAGACTGATCAGCAACTGAGTTTCCATCTCCTATCTAATTCTCTTTTGCCACACAACCAAACAGTCTGCTGATTAAATAGAATGTCTTTGGCAAGTCATTATCCATCCTCCTCAGGAGGACTTTGCTATCAGTTTTAAGAATGGTCACAAATTAATTTAATGGCAGACGGGAAGGCCTTTTGGAGAAGCTGAACCCAGGGATCTATCCAAATGGGCTATCCACCACCATAAGAATATGATCTTGTCTCTGCATTTTTTCTTCACATTGCTGTTTAGTTTCCTGGAGCTTATCCAAAAATCACAGAAATGCACGTGGCATGAACAAAGTCATCTCATGAATCATGTTTAGAAACTTCCAGAAATCTTCAGCATATTCTCTCCCCTAATCTCTCATTCATGCCTAGCCTAAGATGGATTTGGATTCTCCTTTAATCCCACTAGATCTCAGTGCTTCAAAAACCTTCTAACTAAGACTCTGCTTTCAAACCTACCTGAAAATGCCCCTTCTCTAGCCTCTGCCTCCCAAGATCAACAAAGGGGACTTTTTCTGGCACATAACTGCTGACCTCTGTCCATCTCCATCAGTGTGAGTCCCTAAAAGAGCAAGGTTGTGCCTAGCAGAAAGAATAAATTAATAAACTCAGTAGTTGCTAGTTCCTTGCTTCCTACAACACAATAGAGTAGTGGTTCTCAACTACTCATAACTCTTTGGGGGTCTAATAACCCTTTCATAGGGATCCCCTAAGACCATTAGAAAACACAGATATTTACATTACAATTCATAACTGTATTTAAATCACAGTTATGAAGTAGAATTGAAAATAATTTTATGGTTGGGGGTCACCAAAATATGAGGAACTGTATTAGAGGGTCGCAGAAATAGCAAGATTTAAAACCCCTGCTCTAGACTCCTGTCATGAATATTATTTCCCCTAAATATAATATTTAATTGAATAAATGACTGTCTTTCATTTTCTATTTAAAGTCATCACCTTACTGGGCTCCACACTTCACATTCTTCATTGAGTCTTGTTGAAGTTCGGTTAATCCTGCTCGTTCTCACTCTCTGTCTCTGTCTCACTCTGTCTCTCTGTCTGTCTATCTCTGTCTCTGTGTTTCTCTGTGTCTCTTTCTGTCGCTTTCTCTCTCTGCTGCTGCTGCTGCTCCATCTTCAGGAGGCCTGTTCTGCTTCTACGTGGGATTGTACATTCTTTGCTATTTCTTGTGCCATTTCTTTACATCTTTAAGGATCCTATGCACTCTGTTTTGTGTATTGTATCCAAATTTTCAAAAGAATTATTTAAGCAGAAGAGAAAGAAAAAATTAGATGGTGGGACCGAGGCTTGTAAGTAGATCTTCCTCTGCCTCACAGCTGTCTGCCTTGTATACCTGCCCTTTCATTCCTTCACTGATGCCTGTCAATAATCATTTACCTTCTCTGGTCTTCCAGTTATCACATATGTGATTTTTGTCACAGGTTGGAACTTCAAATCCAGAATAATATAACAGCAACACTAAATGTCTATTTATAGATATATATAATATCATATATATTTATATATGCTATATAAATTTATATATGTGTGATATATAAATATCATATATATATGTATATATATATATATATATCACGAACATAAATATTATGGGAATTCATAAGGAAGTGAATTCCTGCCCGGTGGTGGTGGTGCATGCCTTTAAGCACTTGGGAAACAGAGATAGGCAGATCTCTGAGAGTTCAAGGACAGGCTCCAAAGCTACACAGAGAAACCCTGTCTTGAAAAACTAAAAAAAGAAAAGAAAAACAAGAAATAAATTCCTTTCTAGTTTACAGTGGCCAGGGAAGACTCTTGAAAGCTGATAGACTTGAGTGGAGCTTGAAGACTGCTGGATTTCAACAGGTCCAGAGAAGGACTCATCAGATAAGAGGGGCAAGACACAGAGGAGATGGTGTATTGCTTCGAAACTTTTCCTTCCACCCCAATCCCAGCCCACCCCCAATTTCCATTAACCTAAATCTGACAAGTTTTTTAGGAGGCAAGTAGACAGGTACTGTATTCCAACTTGTTTCCTTGGCTGTTCAGAAAAGCTTTACTTTTCAAAAGGCACCAGAACTCAAAGTTGAGAAAATGAGGCTGGCATCTTCTCTTTTCCCATTCACCATATTACCTGACTCAAGAGCAAGAAATTACTCCAATTTTCTTCAGGACTTTATACAGGAAAAAAATTCATGTCTGCCTAGGACACTGTGGGGCCTCAACTTAGAACCCTAAGCTAAGGAAAGCCATTTTCCTTGGGTCTGACTTCCATGCCTATTTCCAAGCCAAGACCAGTGTCTGCCTCACCGTGTAGAGCCAAGCCTTGAGCTAGTCTAGACAAAATAAATTTAGGGGTTTTCTTCTTCGTGCAGGAACATCCAGTGGAAATGTTTAAAATATACCATACAAGTCCTCAACTCAGGCAGACCCCAGGCCTTGGGCGTAGATTCTTCCTACTAGCAAAGATGAGATGAGCAAGGTTGATTCTATCTCTCACCACATCCTGAACTGGTTTGAGTAGACAAGGGACCTCAGCCCTGGTTGAACAGACAGATAACATTTTATGAACATTCTTTTCCTGTTGCCTCTAATGAAAGAGTTCTGAGTGGAGCCCCTCCCTGCTGAGGTCTGGTGAGAACCCAGAGGCCAAAATGAAGGCTGATTAACAGGCATCACAGCAGTGACTCAAACGGTTCATGATTTCAGATGAAGCTTGTTATGGTGACTCCACAATTAGGACTTTAGCCCACGTGGCCCACCAGTCCTTCAGGAGGCCATACCAAGCACTATATAAAAGTCCCCACCTTCCTAGACTTCACAATTCACATCCTTCGTTGAATCTTGTTGAAGATCAGGTAAGCATTCTCTCTGTCTCTTTCTCTCTCTCTGTCTGCCTCTCTGCCTCTCTCTCTCCTTCTCTCCCTCCCTCCTTCCCTCCCTGATGTTCCATCTCTTTGAGGCCACTCTTCTGTTCCTATCTTAGACTATACTTTCTACTATTTTTTCTAGACAGCTTGCCATTCTGGGACCACTTTAACTATCTCATGCATTCTGTTTAATATATTATAGCTGTTTTTTTTTTAATTATTAGTTAAATTGTGTGGTAAGACTGGGGTTTTCAGCTTGTGCCTATCCAGACAAAAGTCAGGAGAACATTTTCATCTTGGAAACAAGTGTCAGAGGGAGCTGAGCTAGAAATATAAAAGAAAGAGATAAAAATCAATCTTAGAGTTAATTATGTTTTCCCCCATCCCCCTCTCAATCAACCCTCCACCCATATCTTTCCGACTTCCAGTCTGGTGCCTTGAGTGCAAAACATCTCAAATCTTCTGTTTATTTTCAGGCTCTTCAAATCACCCAAGATGTCTTTCAGTGATCAACAGTGCAAGCAACCATGTGTGCCACCTCCATGTCTTCAAAAGACCCAAGAAAAGTGCCAGGCACAAGCTGAGGAAGGGTGTGTTCCCTCGTGTCAGGACCCCTGCCAAGACAAATGTCCACTCCAAGCTCAGGAGGCATGTGATCCTCAGTGCCAGGAGATAAGCCAAGGAAACTGCCCTCAGCAAGGCCAAGATCCATGCCTACCTCCAAGCCAAGACCAGTGCCTGCCTCAGTGTGTGGAGTCATGTCAGGAGCTAGCCCAAACAAAATGTGTGGAGGAGTTCCCACAGAAGCTCCAGGAGAAGTGCTCATCCCAGGGCAAGGGAAAGTAGCTGCTCATATGCCATCTGGAGTCAAGAAGATGGCCAACAGAAGAAAATCTAATCCCAGTCCCCACTCCGGTGACCTTCTCCTGTGGGTATCTCTGTACGATACACCTTCTTGTCTCCTGACTTCCCCAGGATTTCAGGACTTGGTCTGTGCCTCTGAAGATAGTTCTCTGTATCTCCCCAACCTCTGTGAATGAGTACTCTTCTCTGCAGTTGGTGGACAGTCTCTAGCACAGGAGTGGTGTGGTTATCCAGGGAGACCACCAAAGCCTAACACAGCTGTCCTGCGGCAAAAGCTCAACTATCCCTTGGTACATATTGACCAAGGATGCCTCTGTTCACCTTTCAGAGTGCAAGGCTCTCTTTCAAGCCTCAACACAACCTGAATTTAATGGCTTTATTCTAGGTATCGCCACTACAGCAGGTGTTAGGAAGAGGTCGGTGGTGCTACCAAATCAAAAATGGTGTAGCTTTGTTTCTGCATCCTTACAAAATATGGTCGGACATTGTAATGTGCCCTGTGCTTTGTAAAACTGTTTTAAAAGATTGAATTCAAACAGGCAGTAAGGAAACACAAGTTGGGATCTTGGGATCTCTGTCAGTCTTTGTGCTTCATGGAAGGTCTGCTTTGAACCATGTGGTTTGAGGGGGCTTTGGATGCCGTGTATGGTCTTTAGTTTGTGTCTCTGTGACAGGAGCTGGTTTGTCCCCAGCTCCCTTGCCTTTCTCTCCTTGGTGAAAGTAAAATATATAATAAAGCTGTTCCTAAGCTGATCCCTGAAGTGATGTGTGTGTGCCCCTTCCTTATCTCTGCTGTCTCTGTGGCAATGATAGCCTCCGTTGGGAAGGGAATCTGGGAAAAGAATGAAAACACATCTCACAGATGCACAAGACAGAGGCAGAGAGATTTCCTTTGGATCACATAGACCAGCCTGCTCACAGCCTCTCCAGGCTCATCTACACACACGCTTCACATATGAGACAACACAGTAAAAATCTGAGACCTTCCCATGGTGAGAACCTCAGGCCCAGGTTCTTTGCACTGTAGTCTATTTGCTCTCTGGCCTGGTTCCCAGAGGAAAGGACTAAAATGGAGGGTAGAAAATTGTGCGGAAGAGGTACCCCCAAATAAACCCATGGACAGCTACACACATCAGAGAGAAAGAAAGGTGCCTCTGAGATGAACACAAACTTGAGGGCCAAAGTGTCTGCACTGCCATCTGGACAGATTTCAGTAAATCCAACCTAGGTGACCTGGTTTTGTCCCAGCGCTCCCTCGCCTAAGAACAAAACAAAGCTGTGAACTTGTGTAAAAGGGCAAGAAAATGCTGGGCTGGCATGAAAGAGCCAAAGGCTGTTTCTTCTTGAGTGCCCTGACCTGGCCTGTGGGGAAGATGTGTCAAGGCTTGTCCTCAGAGCAGAACAGAAGCTCCTTTCCCATCCCCCACCTCCTCCCTACTGGATCTCGAGAGAAGGAAATCTGTGGAGATCATGTGGAGTCGATGGCTCAGCTGCTTAACTCAACTGAGAACCTCCTGACACGTGAATCATACTAGTCTCTCACACTTAAACATTTTCTAGAATAAGACACAACTGTGACAGAATTTGAGGGAAAGCTTCAAGAGGTCATGTGGAATCGTATGTTATTATGGGCGTGTGGTCTAGACCAAGTCCCGAGTCTTGTGCGCATTCTCAACAAGATCCTCACACAGCTTCAGGGAGGTCAGCTGCCCTCTGTTGAAGAGCATGCTTGACCTTTTGTAGGGCCCCATGTTCAGAATTCTAACCCAGGTCACTCTTACTCCTGACTATAGCCCTGACTGGCTTGACAAAAGTGCATATGACACTCAAGGGAGATTTGGGGGAACTGTCTTTGCAATGATCTATCATCCTCATAGGCAATACCCAATCATTTCCCAAATGCCAGGCACTCGGCCAGGTACTGGAGAAATGGTGAGCCAAGAGGTTAGTATCCCTGTGCAGAGACAGTAGCTAGCTTTTCTGCCAGCCGCTCTCACCAACAGCCTTTTCCAAAACTCTCCTGGTCCTCTCAAGTCCCTGAACATCCCCCAGATGCCAGAATTACAGTTATCTTGCCCCAGTGGCTAGTTGAAAAATTTTTTCTCACCCATTTTTCACACTGAGAATAAAATTCCATCGATCTCCAGGGCCTAGCTGGTTCCTGGATGAATCTTGCAAAAAGGTCTTCAAAAGACCTATCATTGACACTTCCTCTGGGCTGACAAATCTCACAACTGTGTCTCTAGCTTGGCTCAAGTGCAGCAGAGGTCTTTGTTCACTAACGCTAAAGGCACACATTGGAATCCAAGATCAGATACCCAGACCTTGAGAGGAAGTGCAGGTCTAATGAGCAGGGACAGTCCAACCACATCAGATAGGGGAAGAGGCTGGTGATTATAGGGGAGGCCTCAGTGATGGGAAGGGTACCAGGCTGCAGATTGCAGATAGGAGAGCAGACGCCAAGCTGCTGGCAAAGGCTTCATCGAGCTGTCATGGGAACTTACACAGGGTCTTGTGCTCACAGAGCTCTCACCCAGGCTTCGCAATCCATGCTCACAAAGCCCAGAGGCCATGAGGACATCTAAATCCAACCATATGACAGTCAGATTGCCCCAGCTGACTGCATGTGTACTGAAGCCTTTCAAAGGGGAAAGATGCATTATCAAGGAGATTCCCAGTATTGTGACTTCTAGGTGATAGATAAATGGGTGTGTGGCAACAGTGGACCTGTGGGGAAAACACACGCTGATAGAAGTTCAAGAGAGAATGATGTGGATTCACTTATTCAAAAGAGCTATGGAGATCCCCACAACCACCACCAACATATTGAATCTGACTCCGTAGAGCCACAGTGGCATGAAAAATAAATGTAACTAGAACAATGGGGAAATAGTCTATCAGAAACTTGTCACATATTTGGTTTAGAAAGAAAGGAAGGAAGGAAGGAAGGAAGGAAGGAAGAAAGAAAGAAAGAAAGAAAGAAAGAAAGAAAGAAAGAAAGAAAGAAAGAAAGAAAGAAAGAAAGAAAGAAAGAAAAGGAAAGATTGAGAAAAG